CAAGCTATCGGCTTCTTCTGCATGCCCTTGGACATCGTCCAGCTTCAACTCCCCACCGAGCTTCACCGACCTCCCCCAATGGGCGGTGTCCATCGCTCAGCAAGGCCCCCCTTTGTACTGGCCAGGTGAAGGGCTTGCTGCGGGAGTTCACCAACGCCTGCGGGGAGTTGCAGGCCTTGCCCAGCCATCAGAGGCGAGAAACCCAGTGCCTTCCGCTCGGGTTTTCACAAGGGGTGCCATCCTTGGGGAAAGCCGTGTATGTGTGTATCTATTTTAAAAAAAAGTTGGTGCATTTTGCTTCGATGTTGGGAGTTTAACTTTTTGCCAACTGGCTTTCTATGAAGCCACTAAAAGCCAAACTCTTAGCAGGGGAGCAGAAAGAAACCGAATATATATATATATATGTATGTATGTATGTATGTACGTATGTACGTATGGTACCTCAATATCATTTGATTCCCAACCTGTTCTCTAAAATGTAAAGGTCTATAAAAGGGCCAAAGACAGGAGTTCCGAGGCATTTTCCCGTTTCCCCGAACCTCGAGTGGCGCTTCTCACTGGAACCCGCCCATTTGTTTTTTGCCGCTTGCGACGTGGAAAATCGAGTGAGCCCGGTAAGAACGTGTTTGACGGATCAGTGCAGTCCTTGAGAAGTTGTTTTGGTCACCGGTCTTGCCGAGCTTCTTTCGGCCTTCCTGAAATTGTTTGTGGCGATTTCTGCTTTGGGCATTGAGGGGTTGGGCTGCCGCGCGACGGCTTGCTCTTCGACCCGTTTTGGGAAGATGAAGGGCGTTTCCGAAGGGCGTCCGCTTCCACACCGACAGTTGGGGGTTCGTTTGTGTTTTCCGCCTAAGCAGGCCAAGTGGGATGAGGTTCCATGTTGAGCAACTAGCAACCTAAAACGCTGTGCGGGTGAACCTTTTTTTGAGGGAACCTCTTTCTTTTGGTGGGTTCAAAGGGAAACTCTACTGATGGATGACCCACTGCTTGGTGAGCGGTCTAAACGCAGCTGTTGCGGTAGCCTCTAGCATTGAGCCCAAGGGAGGTCTCCGATTTGCTCAATGTTACTCAGTTGCCCACGGGCATCCTTTTGTCCTGTATTTTTGTTGTTGTGTTGTTGTGTTTTTTAATATATATATATATTTTTGGGGGGAGGACAGTAAATTAGTAAACTCAAACCCAACCAAACAAATGCCCCATTTTGCCCCATGCTGAGCTTACCCTCCCTCAGAACCCTCTGGCGGTCGCCTGGCAGGATAAATGCCCAGGCCATCATTGACAAGGGCGTGGTGGAGTATCTGCACCGTCGGCAGGGGCCTAAGCTCAAAGGCTCCACGCTTTCGATGTCTCAGCGCTTTCTGAGCTTTCCGGCTCAGCAGGAAAAGTGAAAGGGAGCCACTGGGTTTGTGAGGGGGGGGAGTTCACCATTTCAAGTGTCTACCAACTAGCTTGTTTTATACCAAGTAATAATCCAAAAGATGCAGATTTTCTAAAAGCTATTCGAGATAATTTAAATAATTTTAAATTTGCTCCCCATGAAACCACAAAAGCTGTCGATCAGCTTGATAATTGCGTTAGAGCGACTGTGACTTACGCTCAGCCTGCATCCGCCACACATTGAGCGCCACATCCCACGTTGAACACATATCAATGAAGCACATGTTTTGCAGGCGAAGTGCGAGTTCGCTGTTGTATGATGCTGTATGTATGGGTGTTGTCATTGACTCCTGTCTGGGCCCGAACCATTGGGTCTTCAACCGCGTTGCTTTTGCTTTCACTTCCAAACAGATGCTGGTCTCAAGTGCCCTTCCCCCCCCCCCCCGGCGCCATCCTCCGCCCAGATACCTTCGGAAGCTGAAGATGATCACGTCGGCGGACGAGACCATGGCCAAGAAGCGGCTCATCCAGGAATGCAAAAATGGCGTGGAGCTCCTCTTCAAGGACCGGAACTAGGTCCCCCAGTAGTGCCCTTTTACCAAATTGTTTGGGGGATGGTTCCCCTACAAGAATAGACGACAGAAAAAGGGTACCCTTATTTTCGTGCTCCGCGCGCCGGCCTCGCGTGTCCGCCGCGCGGGCTGGATGGATGGACGCGATGGATGGCGGATAAGAGGGAGAGAGGGAGCGAGGGAGGGAGGGAGGGAGGGAGGGAGGGAGGGAGGGAGGGAGGGATGGATGGATGGATGGATGGATGGGATGCGGTGGGCGGGTGGATGGGCGGATGGATGGGTGGGTCCGTGGGATGCAATGATACATGGGATGGAGGAATGGATGTGATGGCGCACCTATACCCAACAATGCACACACACACACACACACACACACACACACACGCCCGTCCACACCCACGCGCCCACACCCACCCGCTCACCCACCCACCCCCACCCACCCCGCGCCCGCACCCGCATGCCCGCGCGCCGCCCCCCCCCGCCGCGCGCTCGCGCACACGCTCGCCCGCCGCACGCACGCCCCGCACGCACGCCCGCTACGCACGCCCGCACACACGCCCGCACGCACGCCCGCACGCCCACACGCACACCGCGCACACGCGCTACGTCCCCGCGCCCGCGCCCCGCCCGCCCGCCCGCCGCCCGCCCGATTTAGTCAACAAAAGCAACACAGAGCACACCGTCCCCATGCCAAAAGCATGGTCCTTTTTTGGACCAGGCATGGATTCCGGCCTCTCTACTGGAGAACCTAGTACTGATTCTGGCAGGGAACCCGCGGCTTGCACGGCTGAACTAATTCGCGTGGGCGTGATAAATACTTTGCCAGAGACAAGTGGCTCAGTGCGAATATCCCCCCCCACCACCCCCCACTCAGAGCCTGAGCCTTACGCCTTGTCGCCGGACAAAATTGGTTCGCCACTTTTCCAGTTGCAAGGAGTGCGACTTGGGGGAGGAGGCGCCGCACATGCCGCCCAGCAGTTCCCTGGAGACCATCTCGGAGCCAAGCGAGGAGGACTCCAGGCCCGAAGCGGGAGGAAGCGAGCTGCTGGAGGTTCAATCCATGGTTTGAGTGCGACTTTTTTGTTTGAAGGTACCCGTTTTGGGTTTGAGACTCCATTTGTAAAATTTGAAGAACATCTCCCCTTCTTTGTTTTTGGTTGGAGAAGAAATGTTCAAAGCAAAATCAACCATTGCTGGGGGTCCCCTAGGAAAAGATGCTGGTCTTCCAGCGATGAGACACCCAATTTTGGCTCCCGCGCCTTCAGCCAGTTGCATCGCCTTCTAGGTCCCCCAATATTGCCCTTTTACCTTTTTTGGGGAGGACCTAGCCTTGACACGGTGCTCCTGCGCGCGATGGCACTTTGACACGGGCTGTTTCCTTCGCGGGGGTTTGTGAAGCAGGAGCTGGACTTGCAACGGTTAAGAGAGTAGTTCTAGGGGATTGACAGCGCGGCAATGCGCACAACTTCCTTTGAAGCAGAAGATGATAGTGGGGCTGCGTAGTTCTTGTTTGACTGGCCCCATTTTTCCAAAGGGTCAGACTGGCGCTTTGAGAGCAATGCCAGACCCATACTCCCAAACAAAAATCAGCCGAGGTGGTCGGAACCCTCTGGAAACCTGAGCCTGTTTGGGCCTATCGATCCCATATCTGTCAGCTGGGCAAAGGGGCCATGCTCTGAGCGCAGGCCTCTGGTCCAAGAGGGGTTCAATCAATTTCCCTTGTTGCGACCTCCAAAGTGCAAGGGCCTCCAAAACTGGGCAGTGTTTTTAAATGGACACCAGAACCTTGCCTTGCAACCGGCTTTTGGTTCTAAAAAAGGAGAAGGAAAACCAAGAACTATTGTTACTGGAACGATGCATGTTCATGCCACCTGTAATAGTACAATTGTAACAAATACTGATTTGTAACCTTTAAATTAAACAAGGATCCAATTGGAAATGCTAACTGTAACCTTTAAATAGTGACAATACTCCATTGGAACAGTTGGTTAGCAAATACAATTGTAGCATGAACCAAGTTAAACTTACAGGGGAACTGAAAGGGAGTTAACCAATCGTCCACCCCAATAAACAGTTAATACTACTTAATTTAACCAAGTTAAGCTTTTAGCGGGGGATCTGAGGGCAGCCCAGATCAGCCTTGGCTCAACCTCTGGGGAACTCCAAATCCGTGCGCCCGGCTCGCAGAAGCCAGGCCGCGAGTGGCCACGCCGGGTTCCTTCACCTCGGAGGCGGGGAACTTGGGGGGAGCAGCGGGCACCTGCGGGTCTGGATGCAAAAGAATGAATCGCTTTGGGCGTCTCACTTCGGAATTTGTTTGGTGTATTGATATATGTGTATATATATATATATTTATGTTTTCATTTCAGATTTTGTTTGGTGATTTCAATATATATATATATAAATATATGTATCATTTCGGGTTTTTGTTTGGGGTATTTTTCTTTTTATGGGTATGGGTCCCGGGGACGGCACGTTTTAGTCGTTGGTTCCACTTACCAGGCGTCCATTTTAGGCACCTATTTTTGACCGCCCCACAGCCATATATCGGTTGCGTTTACTTGGCGGTTGGTTCCTTCGGTTTGTTGGTTTTTTTGGTTTAGTGGGGGCTTCCATTTCACCCGCAAAACGTTGAACTTGTGGCAGGGGATCTGAGGACACACGGTTTATATTGAAATTCTGAAAGCAAACACGTAGGTCCGGCTAGGATTGCAAACCTGCATGAGAAGTCAGCAAGGTCTTGTGCATGTGTTGCTTGTTTTTGCAGCTGAAGAGTATGTCACGTGGCAACCTAGGCCCAGGAATGCTGTTGTCAAGTCCCGCCAAGGGCATGGGGCATCCACCGAGAATTTTTTGGTATGCCATGGATTGGCCCGGTGAGTTCCAGGATAATTGGTGGGAGGGTATGTGCACTGTGTGTAGTTTTTTTTACTGCATGAGTCCAACAACTCAATGCCTCTACTTGCCGAGAGCTACGTATCATGCTGTTTGACCTTGCGGGCCAATCTGAATTGCAATTTGCTGCCTTCGCATGGTGCAATGTTCTTGCGTCACACATTTGCTAGACCTCGTTTCCCATAATGTATGTCATATGCATAACTATTTGCGGTACACCAGACTTACGGTGCGGATGCGTCAGAACAGGAGGATTTCCAATTGCCCAATGGGTTCCGCCCCCTTTTTCCCAACATTTTGGTGGTTGAACACTCATCCAACCCAGAAAGGACGGATGCCCGCCTTTGACATGGCCACTGGGCATCTGAGTCAACACCGGGCAAATTTAAGTGGGGGTCTGGGGGTGGAGGCCGTGTTCGCGAGGAGTTGCTCCTTTTTGATGGATCGGCAAGTGCTGTTTTCATTGGCCCGGTGCGGGAATTGTAGCTTCGCAAGATCAACGTGTGGTTTTGCTGCGCAGGCGCAGTGTTTTGGAAGGCTGCGTGTTCGCGCTGCCGTGCCAGTGGGATTTGCGATCCAGGGGTGGTCGTTTTGAGGTGTCCTGCTTGGCGCGTGCAAGTGTTTGCACGAGTTTCATTTTCGTTGGCCCTGCCGTACAATCGGCTCGTTTTGGCGAGCCTGCAGCATGTCGAAATTGGTCGAAATCATTCTGGCGCCACAGTCCCGTGCTGGTTTTGGATGCGTGTCGTAAACGTGTCAAAGTTGGATTTCGTGGCAGTTTGGATGATTTTGAGTTTGTGAGACAAGCTTACACTTTGCATGACAGGCGCAGCACTTTCGAGCGTTTTGGTTGAATTTCGTGGCGGGCGCAGCACTTTGGAGGCGCCTGGGTGTAGATTTCGTGGCAAGCACGTCACTTTGACTCAGCGAGATCGCTCTTGGTGAGGCGCGGTGCAGCGCGAAGCGAACCATGCTCTCGCTCTGGCGCGGTGCGCATTTTCCGAACGCGAAGCGAACCCTCTGCGCACTTTTGGTAGGTCAAATCGCTCTCGCTGTGGCGCAGAAGTGTTGATCAGGTGTCGCTCAAAAGTGTCGCTCAGAAGTGTCAATCAGAAGTGTTGCTCAGAACTGTCGATGAGAAGTGTGGATCAGAAGTTTTTCATCAGTGTCGATCAGAAGTGTGGTGTGGTTCAGCAGTGTTGCCCAAACTGTCGATCAGAAGTGTCAATCAGAAGTGCGGATCAAAAGTGTTGCTCAGAAGTGTCGATTAGTAGTGTTGCTCAGAAAAGTCGATCAGAAAAAGTGTGGTTCAGAAGTGTTGCTCAGAAGTGTTGATGAGAAGGGTTCCTCAAAAGTGTCGATCAGAAGTGTCGACAGAAGTGTCGACAGAAGTGTTGCTCATAAAAGTCGATCAACAAAAAGTGTCGCTCAGAAGTGTTGCTCAGAAGTGTCGATCAGAAGAAGTGCGGTCCAGGAGTGTTGATCAGAAGTGTTGATGAGAAGGGTTCCTCAAAAGTGTCGATCAGAAGTGTCGCTCAGAAGTGTCAAACAGAAGTGTTGCTCATCAAAGTCGATCAGAAAAAATGTCGCTCAGAAGTGTTGCTCAGAAGTGTCGATCAGAAGAAGTGCGGTCCAGGAGTGTTGATCAGGTGTCGCTCAAAAGTGAATGTCGCTCAGAAGTGTCAATCAGAAGTTGTGCTCAGAAACGTCGATCAGAAAAAGTGTCGCTCAGAAGTGTTGCTCAGAAGTGTTGCTCAGAAGTGTCGATCAGAAAGAGTGCGGTTCAGAATTGTTCATCAGGTGTCGCTCAAAAGTGTCGCTCAGAAGTGTCAATCAGAAGTTGTGCTCAGACGCGTCGCTCAGAAGTCTAGTACGCGCTGGAAAATCGCAACTTTGTGGTGCAAGTCTAGTGCGCGAAGTACAGGTTTCCAGCTCCAGCTCGAAAAGTCGCAACTTTGTAGTACCAGCCTAACGCGCGAAGTACAGGCTTCCAGCTCCAGCTGGAAATCGCGACTTTGTAGTACAAGTCTAGTACGCCAAGCACAGGTACGCGAAGTCCAGCCCTAGCCGGAAATCACAACCTTGTAGTACAAGCCTAGCGCACGAAGTAAAGGGTGCCATCTCTAGCTGGAAAATCGTAACTTTGACAAGTCTAGTACGCGAAGTACCGGTTTCCAGCTCCAGCTGGAAAATCGCGACATTGTTGTACAAGTCTTGTACGCGAAGTACAGGTTTCCAGCTCCAGCGCGACTCTGTAGCACAAGTCGAGTACGCAAAGTACGGGTTTCCAGGAAATCGCAACTTTGCATTACCAGCTCTAGCTGGAGAATCGCAACCTTGAAGTACAAGTCTAGTGCGCGAAGTGTGCAGGTTTCCAGCACTAGCTGGAAAGTCACAACTTTGTAGTGCAAGTATAAGTACAAGTTTCCAGCTCTGGCTGGAAGATCGCAGCTTTGAAGTACAAGCCTAGTGCGCAAAGTACAGGTTTTCAGCTCTAGCTGGACAATCGCAGCTGTGTAGCGCAAGTCTAGTGCGCGAAGTACCAGCTCCGGCTGGAAAATCGCAACTTTGTAGTACAAGTGTAGCGCGCGAAGCGCAGGTGTCAAGCTCCAGATTGAAAGTCGCAGCTCTGTAGCAACAAGTGGAGCACGCAAAGTGCAGTTTTACAAGCTGAAACACATAGTTTGCGCAGTGGGCTTGATTGCGAGCCCCATTGGCTTTTACCGAAAAATGTTCTCTCTAATTATTTTCTTGGGTTTGCGCCAGGTGATGTGCATTCGGGTTCGTGGGCTCTGTCTTGTTTACCCTCCCGCCGGTCCACCAGCTAACATGCACAGACCGCAAGACGGCTTCCCTCTTGGAAAGGGGCGTTTTGCACTTCCATGTGAGGACCTGGGAGGGCCGGAGTCCGATCCGGACGTCCGGAAACCGCATCGTAAAAAATCCGCCAGTTCTCGGGCCGCGAGCGGGAGAGGGAGGCGGCGAAACCGGACGACTACCCGTGGCTGGCCGAGCTCTGCGGCGCCTGTGTGGATGACATGCTTTTCATCCGGGACCGCTTGATACCGCGGATGGGTGCGAAATCCATAAAACGCATCACCTTTGAGAAACCCTGGAATGATTCGTTTTTCTTGCAAATACCAACAAACAATGGCTAGATGGCTTAGCTGGATGGGTGGCTGGATGGTTGCCTAGCTAGCTAGTTGCTTGGTTGGTTGGCTTGCTGGCTGGCTGGCTGGTTGGGTTGGCTGGCTGGCTGGCTGGCTGGTTGGTTGGTTGGTTGGTGGGTCGGTCGGTAGGTTGGTTGGTGTTTGATTAGTGTGTACTTGCTTGCCATGCTTCTAGCGCATGGCACGTTGCCGCTCTTGAATCCGGCAGTGGGGTCACGGAAGCCTCTGCCTTGATATTGGCTGACCTTGCTATGTAATAACTGTCATCCGTCAGGTGACACCATCTCTCATGGTTTGCCAGGGAAGCCTTGGCACAGGCACACGCAAACACGCGTGAAACACATGAAGTTATCAATTTTGAGTAGGCCCCGGTCAGGATCTTGTGTTAATATTGTGGCCATGAGTAGTGACATGAGTGCACGCGTGTGTGACATGTGCGCTTGCAGTAGGGGTTGCGTCTCAAGGGAACGCTCGCATTTTCTAGATGCTGCCTTACACCTTGGCGTGTATACACCCTCGACGGCCGCTTGCCGCGGGCCTGCTGCTCGGAGATTTCGGCGTCTGGTGTCCATCCGTCCACGGGCGACCCAAAGCAGCTGAGACCGTTTCGGGGATGGTTTGCTTGAAATCCAGCCGCCTCATATTGGGAGCAACCCAAAGAAATTGTGTGTGTGTGTGCGCTGATGACCGGCCCCCAATTGTGGGGGCGGCAGGAGGATGACGAGACACTCTACGAGCACCGCAAAGGCAACAGCCCAGTGCTCTTGTTCTGTAAGGCAGGGTTTGGCCAAAAGGTTGAATGCAGCTGTTGTAGTCAGTGTGCGTTTTCCTTTCACATCGCCACTTGCCGCGTCCGGCCTTCCTTTGTCAAAGGGTTTCCCACCCCGTTACATCTTGCCACGCATGCTTTTACGTCGGCTGAAGTTGCATATCGGTTGTTCCTGGTTCACAAGCGGGCGGGGCTGGACGCTAATTACTTGCGAAGAGAAGTTGTCTAGGGCAGGCTGTGAAAAGGCAGCTTTGGCAACCACCAGGGAAGAGTTGGGACGAATGTGCGTTCTGAACGTTGGGAACCAACCACTTTTCCCAAACAAAAATAGCGGTTTCCCTTTCAACTGAGCGACGGTAAGATCCGGCTAAATTTGCGAGGCCCTGCTGTCTCAGTCCCTGCTCGCCTTGGTGGTGGCCAGCCCCTCGTCGTCTGTGCTGCCGTGGCTGGGTGCTGGTGGCGCATCCCTGGATTCTTCGACGGGTTGATCGCTCGGGATGCTTAGCCTCCAACTTTTTGTGTGGTACCAGTTGGAATGGGGTGTTTCTCAAACACTTCTGTGATGGAATCTCTTAAGATCTCTCCCCCTTTATATAGGATACTGGACTGGTGGCGGGGCCGAAGCTTTTCTTTTGGAGTCCGTTTTGGGACTTTCTTTTTTTTTACACCCCGACTCAAAGCGCCTTCCGTGCACTTGGCAAGCCGCAAAAGACAAAAAGACGGGTTGTGGTGGATCACTCGGGATGTTATCCAACTGTGATAGTTGGAATTGGTCTCCGGTGAGGGGGAAATTCCAACTTCTGTGATAGTTGGGATCTCCCTCTTTTTTTCTGGGGTATGGGCTTAGTCTTTGGGGTTAGGAGCTTGGGGCGGTATCGCATTGGGTTCCTCTTATCCCACGGCCCTGCTTAGACGGATTCAGGGTTTTGGTTGGTTTAGTGGTACAACCCACTAAGAGGCTAAGCTTTTAGCAGATCTGAGGACAGCCCAGTTTTGAGGGTCCCAACATGGCACCTGTGGCATACTTGGAAGGTCGCTTTTCTTTTGGGGGTACCCATGTCAGATTTCAGCTTGGTCGAAAGGGAAACACACGTCTGCCGCCCAACACCCAACACCACCCTACATCACCCAAGACCACCCAACAGCACTCAACACCGCCCAACAGCACCCGACACCACCCTGCACCACCCTGCACCTCCCAACACCCAACACCACCCAACACCCAACACCACGCACCAGCACCCTACACCACCCTACACCACCCAACACCACCTAATACCCAACCCCAACCAACACCCACCCACCCTACACCAGCCGACACCACCCAACTCCCAACGCCACCCAACAGCACCCAACTGCACCCAACACCACCCAACACCACCCAACAGCACCCAACACCACCCAACACCACCCAACACCACCCAGGGCAACACCACCAGACACCATCCTAAAACCTGCCAACACCAGCCCAACACTGGCCAAAAACAGCCCAAGCACCAAACTGTTTGTCCTGCAAAGCAAGAAGCAGCAGGCTTGCCAAACCCGTGCCAAAACCACAAACCTGCGGCCAAACCCGTGAAGCCAAGCCGCAAAAAGCCAAGCAGCCGCCGTCCAAAAGGCGCTTTGCAGTTCATGGCCTTCCGTTCCTTGACCGCGTCGGTGAGCATCTCCATCGTGGTGCTGGCCCTGATGGCCTTCCCCCACGTGCCCTGGTCGGCGCCTGTGGCGAGAACAGTTGGGGCGAAGTCGGTCTCCCTGTCGTCCGGTGGGTTCTCCCCGGGAGAAACCGGGTGGCAGATAGATGCTAGGTTTTTGAGTAGTGCCCTTCCTCACCCCCATTTTTGTTTTGGGGGGGAGGGTTCCCCTACTAAAATAGACAACAGAAAAAAAAGGCAGCCTTATTCTAACCTCTCTACTGGAGGACCTAGTGGTTCCTCTTGAAGTTCGGTGCAGATATGGCGGCCCGAATATGTCAGGTCAATTTCCAACATGGAGTCAGTCTTTTTGGAGTAGAAATCAGCCCAGCCCAGTCCGGCTTCAACTTTGTGGGAAGGGGTTCCTTTGAAGCTCAACCAACCTGTTCCCAAATGCATGAGGCTCAAAGTGAGCTAACTGAGCTGATTTGGGCGATTTTGGGCGTGGCGAGTTTGGGCGCCGAAATCAGCTGGGCCCATTTTCCAGGCCAAGAAGCCCCTAGCTGTGCCCAGCGATCCTTGGGGTGCTCGCAAGAGATGCATTATTATTTTGGTTGTCGGAGGAAGGAGATATCACACTGACCCATATATCAAAATGCTGATGCAACGAGGGCTTTTTGAAAGGAACCATCGGGTGGACTGTATGGCGCCAGTTGCCATAGCCAGGCATCGGAAGGGAAAACTTAGTGACGGAGTCACTCGGTTTCGTTGCTCGAATCGGTCCCGCTCAGGTCTCCACTTCCATTCCTCCGGTTTCAATTTCAAACGGCAGAGCTTTGCTCACGGATTTTTCCAAGTGAACGGAGAGCCATGATCAAAGCCTTCGGCCCAGTCAATTCCTAGGCCTAGGGTTTCAATGTCAACTTACCGCCTAGTTGATTTGATGGACAGTTGCCAGGTGTGGGTCCTGATGCAGTGGTTCAACCTTACGGCTGCTCAGACCTATATTATTCACTGGTCGGTCTGATCGTGTTGGCTCTGGTCACGGATCCAAGGTCATATTCGCCAAGGTCGTGTTTCAGCTACTTGGCGTCTGGCACCGGCGCGTGGCACGTGGACCGGACCAATGCTGTTGCTCTTGGAGGTTCCACTTGACGTAGCAAGTGATTTGCCGCGGAGAAACACAGTTCAAAACCCCAATTGTCCCATCTACAGCCATGCACAGTAGGCCCAATTGCCAAGTTGTTTGTTGTTTGGTAAATAAAGCAAACAAAAGCCAGAACTCGTGTTTCTCCGTCCTCACCCCGCACCGCCCAGTTTTTGTTTGCTGATTCCTCCCCGCCTTTCTGGTACCCCCTTGGTTGTTTCGATTGGTTTGGGATTTGAAGCCCTGGTTCTTGGAGAGCCCCTCCATACCAAACCACCCATAGCCGCACACCACCAGGTACCCTCCATTACGCCACCACCAATCGCCCCAAACCAGGCAGAGCTTGAAGCCGAGCCAATCCTTCGCCGGTCAGGTAGATGCCTTTCGCCGGCCGGTCGCCGCTCTCTCGCTCGAGGCTGCCGCTCTTCTGCGAGGACGGGCGCCTCAACTTCTTCGGCTGCCGGCCGCTGTGCGGCACGGAGATGCCCTGGACCGTGCTGCTGGGCCTGGCGCGGACCCCGCGGTCGGATGCGCTTTTTTTCTTCTGGCGAGATGGGAATGGGGTGAGAGCGGATCATTGACTTGGGTTGAGGCAGAGGCACATCACTGCGAGCTTGCTGTCAAGCGCTGGCTTGCTTGCCTGCCTGCCTGCCTGCTTGCACCAATTCTGGGAACCATCCATCTTACACCCTAATGCAGCTCGCCCTTCCAAAGCCACAGGCCTCTGTTCAGTTAGGTCTTCGGCTACGTTCAATTGATCCGGTCAGTTGAAGACGCGGCAGAACGCGAACGACCCCTGCAGCTTAGCTTTGCCCTCGCTGACACAGCTGCTTTGGCCGGACGTCCTGCTCTCCGTAATGATTTTGCTGGTGACTCGGAGCAGATGGGAAGGGCTGGCTTTCCAGGCTTGCGGATGGGGAAAAGACTGGCCATGTCACCTGTCAAATTGACCTAAGGTGGAAAAACTAGCTTCCCGAACTTGCTTGACCTTTGTACCTCGTTGCAACACTGTGTGGGTGTTGGTGACCTTTCCCCATATCAGGGAAACAGGGGGAGGGGGTGTCGGGTTAGGGTGTTGGCCACCTGTGATTTGTTATTTGACATTCCTGGCTTGCCAGCGTGGGCAACGGACAGAGTTGCAAAGAGGACGTATGCTTTGGGTCCGGGCTTTAGCCCCTGTTGCAAAGCATGCAGGCGCGCTTGACGACCCAAGCGCCGAACTCGACACAAGGCTTGCGGCATTTCATCGGCTTTCGAGCATGCGGTGCAACACTGTGGATCCTCCCGCAGGGTCAGAAGATCCAGTGTGGTTGGTATCAATGTTGTCTGACTCATAAGTTAATGCCAGTTGCACTGGCAGAAGTTTGGTTGGGAAGGAACTAGCGTGAGAAGTCTTTTCGTACCACCAGCTTTGATATTCTGGAGTTGGGTGTGAACGTATCCTTTCAGCATATCTTGTTTACCAGCGTGGAGAGAAAAAAGCGAACACATGCAAGCCGGAGGGCAGCCCTACCAGTCGGGGGCAAGACCCAATGCGGCATACGCGCCGTCAGGGCTTCAGCCATCACCAGTTTCATCATCACTTGTGCAATGCATGGAGCCGTCACCATGGCAACAAATCAAAGCGGAATCGCTGAATGTAGGATTCCCCCGCTCTTTCTCTCTGTCTCTCAATCAACTCAGTGCCCGGCAGCTTCTTTATATCCGTGGTGAGGTCATGTGTGCGGCGCGGCTGGGGGGCCGCTTCGGCAGCACTTCGCAGATCCTCGCTAGCCTCAAGATCTTGGAGAAGAAGAACCGAAGGCGGTGGTGGGGGTGACACACATTTTCAAGGCCGTTTCGGGGAAGTCGTGAGCACAAGCGCACTGACATTTTGCAGTACCTCCATGCCATGGGGATGTGCCCTTCACAATCAAATTGCTGCAATTGCTTCCGATCAAATCATGCTGCAGGTCAGCATGCAGCGATGGGGCAGATATGTCATGTTAAACTTCCATGCCATGCAAACATTGCGATTGGGACGAAGGCCGCATGATGCTTTTCCAGCTCGAATTGTCCGATAGCCATGTTCCGCCCGTTTTTTCAGCCGCAGTGGGCACACACAGATGCCACGAGCTGTGTTTGTGCTTCTTTTTTGCATCGACGAATGGATGCGAGTCGCAGGATGAGCACCCACATCAATCGGGAGATGCTGAAGGCAGCCCTGGGACCCGAGCTTGAAGAAGAAGATGAGGAGCACGGCGGGCGAGGCGGGTGGATGTCGGCGAATGGGTTGCTGGACGTCGCTGGGGGTGTGGATGGGGGCAACTCCATGGGAGAAGAAAGTCCCTTCGGGACTTTGGGATGCCGGGCTGCACCACAAACTCGCGGATGCAAACGAATTAGCGCGCGGCCAGCGGGGCGCAACCACAACGACAACGACAACAACAGCAGCGGCAGCAGCAATACCAACGAAACAGCATAATACAACAACACACAACACACAACACACAACACACAGCAGCGCAACACAACAGGGCAACACGCAACACACTGTAAAAAGATCACACACACAGACTACGCAACGCAAAAGGCACAACGCGCACAAGACGTATTACTCAGCACACACACACACACACGCAACACACACATACCACACCATCGGAATGGCACCACACACGCACACACGCACGCACGCACGCACGCACGCACCCACACAAACACACACACTTTTGAGAAGCGTTCCGATGCAGTCAAGCACTGAACGTTTGGGACCGTTGAACAAGACACAACACCTCAAGCCGAGAAACGGAGCTATTTACACGAAGTCGAGTAACACTGAAACTAGTGCAGGTACCCATCAAGGCGTCCCTTGATGCATCCAGTCATCCTCGATAGCTTCGTTGGCGTGGCTACGAGGAGACCGCCACGCCCCCCTGCAGTTTGTTCAGAATGGCTCGTCAGCAGGCGGTGAGCCCGTCTTCCATGCGCTAGGAAGTTTCACACACACACAGCCGCCCCTCCAGGGCAAAAGTCAACGAAAAGACCGGCCAGAGCAAGGAAAACGGCAAGCGGTGTGAAACGTAAATGCTTCCTCATTCCTACGGCTTGTTGACTCTGGTCTTGGGTAGGGCTTGAGGTCGCCTTTGATGTGGTCCCAGCGCTTCGGACATCCTCCTCGGAGATCTGCACCGCGAACATGATGCCAATCTTGCGGGCAATGGCTTTGTATGCCGGGCGGGCCGCCTGGTTGGACTTTGCCTTGCGCAGTGCATCGACCGAAAGAAGTAGACCGTCGTCAGGAGGGTGTCGGTGACGACGTTCTGGATGCCGGTGGTGGGAGTCGAGGTGGCGATGCCACTGGTGGTGGTGGCGACTGGTGCTTGTGGAAGATGTCCAAGGCTGGCGCGTGTTGCGGCAATCGCCTGCACAACATGGATGTGCATAGGACATGGAATAGTGGGGGCCTCGGGGACCATGGTAGAAATTGAGACAGAGGTGCCGCGCAACGCGTCGTTGAGAGCCAGTGTTGAGGTCAAAGAGGAAGACCGTCGCATAGCAGTGCTGACTCGGCTTCCGGTAGTGGGTCGTGTGGTGGTGGCTGTGCCGCGGGGATGTAGGGTTGCATCTCGGTTGCGTTTAGCAGTCATGATAAGCCAGTCATCAATATCCGAAGAGGTTCCTCTGCATCTCGAGCGGGAACGATTGGTATGAGTTGGAGCAGCAGTATACGACGCGTTGGACCTCTGCTCATTGAGGCACTCGGGGTGTTGCCGCACAAGTTCAATGGCGCGAGCCAGGTCGCGATGTATGCGTCGCAGCAACAACTCGGCGAGTCAAGCGGCAACATCATGGGCAACATGAATGACATGACATGAACAAGCCATGAACAACCATGCATGACCGAGCATGAGTCATGAACCGACATGGAACTAGCAGAGAGCGCGTCAGACGGACTAGCAGTTCAAACGTTGTAAAGTGGAGAACGGGCAGCATCTTTTGTCCAAAGATCAGTGAAGTTGGGCGTTGTGCCACATGTCAGTTGAAACCTTGGGGCCAAACAGAGGGGACCAAGCAAAGGAAATGCAGGTGCACGTGCTAGCACATGCGCAATGTCAATGAGCGTGTGGGAGGGGCAAGGGCCGGAGTGGGCACTGGCATCTTAGAGACCTTGAGTGCGCCTTGCTCGTGCGAAAAACGGGAATCTGAATCTGAACAACCAAAGGGTGCAGTCTGAACAGGACTTGAGGTGAAACGTCAGGGGCCTCCCTCCGAGCAACCGGTGACCTAAAAGGAGTCCGACCTTCACCGAAGGTACATAAACACTGAACTCGCTCCATTAAGGAGGCTGGGATGCTCTCCCGTGGCACTTGGCGCCTTGACGGATGAGCCAAGCGAATCACTCACAAGCGTTCCGACGCAGTCAGGCTCTGAACGTTTGGGACCGTTGAACAAGACACAAAACCTCAAGCCGAGAAACGGAGCTATTTACACGAGGTCGAGTGGCACTGAAAATGGTGCAGGTACACATCAACGCGCCCCTTGATGCATCCAGTCATCCTCGTTAGCTTCGTTGGCGTGGCTACGAGGCGACCACCAAGGTCCCTGCAGTTTGTTCAGAATGGCTCGTCAGAAGGTGGTGGGCCCATCTTCCATGCGCTAGGAAGTTTCACACACACACACACACGCACGCGCGCGCGCACGCGCGCGCGCACGCACACGCACACGCGCACGCACACGCGCACACCCACGCACACGCACACGCGCACGCGCACGCACACGCACACGCACGCGCACGCGCACGCGCACACGCGCACGCGCACGCACACGCACATCACGCACATCACGCACATCACGCACATCGCGCACGTCGCGCACATCGCGGACATCGCGGCACGCGCGGCGCACGCGCACGCGCACGCGCACGCCCACGCGCGCACACACACACACACCCGCGCGCACACACACACACACACACACACACACACACACACACACACACACACACACACACACACACACACACACGTGCGCGCACACACACGCACACACCCACACACACACACACGCACTCACGCACGCACGCACGCACGCACACACACACACACACACACGCACACACACGCAACACGCGCACACACAGACACTCGCGGTCACACACCCAGACGCGTACAAACGCAGACAAACTCACACTGTGAGACACGCCCACGCACACGCGGACAACAGACGCATACACATACACACGCATGCATTTGGGCAGTATGTGGGACATGAGAACTAAAGGATGCAATTGAAAAGGTTTGTTGCAGATTGTTGACCTGTGACACTACCTTGGCAACCAGCTGTTTCAGTTGATCCCGGTTTGAACTCGGCAATGTCTAAATGTCGTGTGAAATGACCAGCCCCAGGGGGCCACCATTTCCTCTCAATGTAAATTACGCAACTTCGTGAGTTGGCAGAATTCGGGGGACAAGCCGCTATTTTCACTCAGGCTCCAATAAGGGCCCATGTTTTTTTCGACACCCGCAAGCGCTCACAGACTCGAGCTCACGCGAATTCCCGGGAATTCGCGTTCTTTCGCGGCCCTCGGCAGGTTCGGGCACGCACCTCGACGAAGACGAAACGCACCGCGCGTCTCGGGCTGGGAAGCTCAGCTCGCCGATCGAGAGGCGTGAGTGCAATGGATAGATGGTTTGAGGTTCAACCCCCCCAACCACCCACCCCCCCAAACCCAAACCACCCAAGTGATGATTCCCCACTAATCCCAGCCACACCCTCTATTAACATTACCCTGTTGCCTTATCCAGTTGCCAAGGGGATTCCGCCCTTTGTTCCCCGTTAAACTCAACGAAGCAAAAAGTGGATGCCCTTGTTCCCAATGGAAATCCAGTGGCATCTGGGTTTATGAGGCCCTGGCAAATGTGTTGCGCTCGGTTTTTGCTGTATATGAACCAGGTTGATTCGTCCAAGACTGTGCTGCCAATCCTGTGTGGCCTGAGTTTTCACTTGACAGCCTTCTCGCAGCAAGTTGCTCGCTTGATCCCCTGGCATTTTGGACGAAGTAAGCTTCGGGTGTTGGCCATGCCACTTTAACTTCGTGTTCGGTGCTCGTGGAAGCCGCGTGAGCACAGCATTCCAAACCAGCTTTGCCTGACAAGCCAAGCACGTTTTGGATCTGCTTTGCATGCAAGTGAAGTGCCCTTCACTAGAACGATTTGATCGAGTAGCGGAAGGGGGCAATCCAACAGGCTCTCAGGTTCCCCTTAATTGGTGTTCCTTGCAGGGTTGCTTCCCCCTTCTTTTCAACAGTTGTTCTTCCAAATAAGCTCAGCGACGCTCTTTTTCGGCCCGGAGCCCTGCAACACCTTACCTCAGAACCGTCGCAGAACACCGCGGAACCTTATCTCCGGAGCCTAGCTGGACCCCGAAGCTTTCAGTTGTTGGGGATGAGCCGCTGTTTCTGCTGGGTTTTGATGGTTCCCTGAAAAGAAGGATGCCTGGAAAACAAAATCGGAAATGGAAGCTTTTCCTAGAAAAGCACGATCAAATTCTGCCATCCAAACCAGTGTCTTATGGAGCTAGTGCGTGGCTGCCGCCCACATTCAGTCAGCAAGCAGTTGGCAAACATATTCTGGCTAGAGCCTCGGGGGATGAAATGATTACTGGCGGAGGGTTCAACAAAGCAGCATTCCTTTCTTCCGTTTGCTTGTTTTGCATTTTCCCTTGTTGGGTTTAAAGGGAACCTATCCCTACAGGACATATTGAGAGTTTTTTTGTTCAAGCGACTTCTCAGCAAATGGAGGCTTTGGCAACGTGCAGAGTCCAGTTGTGGCTTGACAGGAGTCCTGAGCAAGTGCCCTACCCTTTGGCCGCTTCTATGTTGATGTGAGGCTAACGAATCTTTCTAGCTGACCGTTATGGCTCGTGGGAAATGCCCCAGTTGCCCAGTGCCGCTCTTCCCCTTTAAACTCACCCAACCAAAAGAAGGGTTCATTTTGGTTCCGGTGGAAATCCACCGGGCATTTGAGATATGGCTGTGGGTCAAAACTGTTTTGGGATCCCATTTTGGGGCAGGTGCACCACCCATTTTAGAACCTTAGTGGTTGGATTGAGATGTTCACTGGGGGTACGATTGGGCTTTTGAGCCATGGCCATATTCTTCATAACACCCGATGCCGAGGCCCGACTGCATTTGTCCTCCCTGACGAGCGTGGAGTTCCGCGAGCAAGCGTACAACTGGCTGAGACTTCGGCATGTAATGCTGGTAGGCAAGCTTGCGCAGGGCTGGAAATAGGCCCTGACAGGCGTTGAAGAGCACTCTATGTAGGTGTTTGTGGTTCTTTGCTTGCTTGGTTGCTTGTTGGCTCCTTCATTTGTTTGTTTATGTGGGTGGGTGCGCGCGTTTTCGCGGACCTGTGCTTGTGTCGCCCGAATTGATCCGCGCACGTCGGCCATTTTTCTGAGTCTCGGTCGGGCCCTGATGCGTTCAGACCTCAGGAAGGCGTACGTGGTGGGCGCTGCCCATGTCCGCAAGCCCGCCATGGATCTCTACGAGTTTCGCCTTTGCATCGCCTTGACGTGCCGCTCGACTGGGCGAACTCGTTGCCCTGACTCAGCTTTTAGCTTCTGACCAAACTCGGCTGCTCAAACGCCCCGGAATCTGTATTCATATGTTCAGCGATTGCTAGATTCTATATATGCAGAGAGTGGCACCGTATATGTTTCAGGAATCTGACAGAATCCCCGTGGCCACGATTTTCCTTGGATGGATTCGCTGTCACAGTCCATGGAAGAGTGAGCACTGTCACGAGTGAGGAGAGGTTGACACGTGGAAGGGTTCCTTCCCCCAGGGGTAACTTCAGAGCGTGGCAAACGGTTTGACCTGGAAACAGACCTGCACTCGGAAGGATCAAAACGGGCGCAGAGCTGCGGACTTTTGCTTGGAGCGAAGTGCTTCAGCTTCCCACGAGGCGATTTATGAGAATTCGCAATGCACAAGGAAAACGCGTAGTGCTTGGTTTCTGGGTCACGGTGGTCAGCCTTAAGACGAAGCCCCACCCACAGCGAGGTTCTGTTGTTTCTCTTATGGCCACCGGGTAGCCAGGAAACTGAAAGCGGTCCTCCAGCCTACGAAAAATCGCTGCCACATGCCACCGAAGAAGACGCTTGTTGTTGTTTTTTCTGGGGGTTTTCATTTTTAGAGACAGATCCAATTGGCCTCTCCTGAGACTTGGGGTAGGTCAGAAGGACTTGGACCGAGGCAGCCAGCCGTATCGTCCATTCCGAGTATCGTCCCGACTTCCGAGGCTTGGGCATCCTGATCTTCGGCTGGAGCACCATGGTGGACAGCGGCCGCAGCTTCTCCAAGAGTCTGCAGGCCAACAACTTCAGCGGGAACCAGGTGCGCGTGCTGGTGCCCCGGCCGGCGGGGGGAAACCAGAATGATCCAGATTTGTTTTGTTTTCTTCACCGCGTGGAGCTGCTGTTTAACCTATTTATTTATCTACGGGGTGTTGCAGGTAACCACGGATTGGTGGTTTGGATTTGGATTTGAAACCCTGGTTCTTGTGGGCAAATGCAAATCCAACCCAACAACCAACTAGACGGGAGCTGATCCTGGGGGTGACGAACGTATTGGATTTCGGTGAGCCGCTTTGTTTACAGTGGCGCGGTGCAGGCTTGAATTGCTGAGTTGTTGCATGTGTTTCCATCAACGCAATGAGTTTGTAGAGGTCGTTGGAGGTTTCACGTGGACCAGCTGTTTCCTCCGGGTGTTTTGATGGTCCCCTGTAAAGAAGGATGCCTGGAAAACATGAAACTGGAAGCTTCCCCTTAAAAATACACGACTAAATTCTGCCATCCAAACCAGTGTGGCCGCCGCCCCCAAGCTTTGGGGGTGGTTTAGGGCAACCAAAGGAGAACCCACAATGCCACGCCCCAGTCTTGTCCACAAAAAAAAACGCGCGCCGGCAGATCTTCCACCGCGCGCGCGCGTGGTGGCGACGGAGTTTCTCCGAGGTGCTCTTCCTCATGATGATCGTGGTGGACCGGGCGCTCTACACCTGGTACCGCTGTGATCACATCCGCGAGGACGAGTGTGGCCAGGTGAAGGACTCGTGGACTTGGAAGGCGCCGGGAAGTTGTTTTTTTCCAAACCAGGTGGCGCGTCTTTTTGGAGGACCCCAAAACCCCAAGTCGTGGTTTTCCGTTGGGTTCCCTTTGGAACTGCCAACGAAGGGGGGGAACCCTCAAACGCACACACACACACACACTCAAATAAAGGGTTGCCCACTCCTTCATAACAGCTGTGTCTTTTTTGCTGGCGCCCTTTTTGTGCTTGAAGGGGAGCCGCCCATTTGGGCGGAAAGACATCCTAAAGTCCTACAGGAAAATGACTAGAAGGGTGCCCGGGTGCACCCCCACACTTCGCCTTTGGCCTTGTGCCCAGGCCTTTCCCAGGTGCATCTGGTGGATGGGTGAACAAGAACAGGTGCCGAATATCGTATTCACAGCCTCTTAACATCCCTTCCATGTGGCCCCTGCCTTACCGCGGATGCAAAATGACGAGATCGCTGCCAGATCCAGAAGCTTGACGCTGATGTCATCTGCTAGTCACCCCTTTTCGAAATGTTATTTTCAGTGGCGATCTGTTTCGAACATAGCCATGCCGGCCGGTCCAGATAGGCAAAAGACCAAAGCCTGGCAGATGGAGTGCATTTGACACTCCCGGATGCCCGTGGGCAGCTCGGAGAGCTACCGGACTAGATCATGTTCTGCATGAAGGTGAGCAAGTGAGTACGCAAGCAATGGACGACATCAGACAAAACGCAAAGCAACGATTTACACGACAATACATCACGCAAGTAAGCAATGAAGGTGCCTTAAGGTCAAGCAGACAGCCAGACACACGATCAAGCAAGAAAAAAGCAAGCAGGCAAACAAGCAAACAAGCAATGACGTAAGCAACCAATCAAGCAAGAAAGCAGGCAATCAATCACGCATGCAGACAAACAAGCAATGAAGCAAGCGCGCAAAACTTATGGCCTGACTAGGGCATCATGGCGCGGGTCCTGCAGAAGGTGAATGTAGTGGTGCACATCATCTCCATCCACGTGCTCTTCATCCGCCAGTGGAGTCGGAAGTTGGTCCAAAAGGACCAGCTGCCGCTCGTTGCTGAATGCGCTTAATGCGATGGGGGGCGGGGGGGGGGGGGGCGCGCTGGGTGTCGAGGGGGAACCGGTTCCCCTTTTGTGTATTTCGTTTTGTTCGGGTTGGCTTTCCTGGAAAACAGTTTCGGGCTTGGCCAAATTCAGTATCCAACCTGCCACTTGCAACGTTTCGAACGGTGAAATTATCACATGATGAGGCAAGCCACGTGTAAACACTCGGGCCCTCTTCTTGATTGCTGGCAGCAAACATTGGGGGCGCCCTAGCTTTCGCAAACCCGAGCTTCGGCAAGGGCAAGCAGCTGGTTTGCTGTTAGATGGGCTGCCGCTCGATGAGAAGTGGGTTGTCCGTCACATCCGTTGGCAGCCTCTGACCCGTCAGAGGTAGAGATCACAGGGTGAAGGGCGGAGGTTCAAGAACTGATCTCGGTTGCCAGAACCCCACACGGTGTGAACGGTAGTGTCACGAGTGCAGGCAGCGTATGGGGTTTGTTCGTTAGTATGGGTAGCCATTGGTTGCACCATGTTGCACCCCAAGGCTCGGGAAAAATAAGTCGAGCAAGGGCGCCTTTAGAGTCCCGATGTGTCTGCTTGCTTTGTTCTGTAAGAAGTGAGTGAGTCCGGGCTTGCGCCATACACACACATATACAGATATATATATATATATATACATACGCCTATATTCCCATGGGACATGCCACTTTTCCGGCACGTCACTAGCCCTCTGTGAAGCCTCGGATTTGGAAATTTGATATGCTGATGCCTGGTTGGGTCTCCCGACAGCTCGCTCGAGTGCTTCGATTACAACCTCTCGAGTGGTTGCGGGTGGGGGCTCAGGAATCTCGATGTGTCCTTGCTCTCAGCATCCACCCTCTCTGGCTTCTACGTTCTGTACGTGACGCTTTGCCGCATTCTTTAGGGGCGGCAAAAGCAAAAGCATCGTCATAGTGACAGATCCCCCGGATTGAGGTGCTATGTGGGAATCAGAGGTCCAGCGAAGATGCTGCCTGTTGTCTATACTTTCATGGCAACGCATTGTGAGCAAACACATCTGACAGTAAGGGTTTCCTATGGCACATGATTGTTGGGTCTGCTTTCTGTGGCAGGTGCATGTCCCATGATGCAGCAGCACTATGAATTGTCACTGCCCTCATGCCAGTTGCGGGAAGGTAGGGGGGTGTTTTACCATGAAAATCCTACAATGCCATCGTCTTGGGGGGGCAGGCCTCAACCCAATTGTTCGTGGTAGTTGTGCAGCTGGTACCCCGCTAACATGATGAGCAATTCGAATTAAAAAAAGGGTCTTCTGCCCCCACGACCAATGGGCAAATGGGTAATTGGTTTCCGTGGCAACTAAAGAGGGCCCACTTCCCTGTGGTATATCAGATGAACTGCGAACAGTCTGCGCATAGAAACAACACGAATCTTCAACGAATGCCACCATTGAGTCTACTACGACTATTGTTGCTAGTATTACTGTCACTACTTGCCTTTTCTGTTTCTGGCAGCAACGCTGTACTGCTGCTGCTGCTGCTGCTGCCGGCAAACGCGACAACACTGCAAACATAGCAACGCTTGCTGGCGGCGCTGCTCCTGCCGCCAAGCTGTAGCAGCAACGGCCTTGCTGTAGCGCTGCTGTAGCGCCAGCATGGCGGCGGCAGCGGCGGCGGCAGCAGCAGCAACGCTGCTGCTACTGCTCCTGTGGCTGCGGCGCTTAACGCTGCTGGCTGTGCTGCTGCGCTTGGCGGCGCATACTGCTGCGGCAGATGCTGCTGCTGCCGCGGGCGGCGCGCTTGCTGCTGCTGGGCTGGCCGGCAACGGCGGCAGCGGCGGCAACATGCTGCTGCTGGCTTTGTGGCGGCAGGGTTGTACTCTGACGCCTTGCTGTACTGGCAGCGCTGCTTGGCGGTGCGCTGCAACACTACTACATGCCAGCGGTGACGCTGCTTTGCAAAACAGGACTTACTCGTGCTGCTGCTGCTGTGCAGCTCTTGCTGCTGCCTTCGCGCGCGGTCGCACCGGCGTTTGTGTGCTATTGTGTATGTGTGTCAGCAGCATGTGCTGCTGCTGTCATATTGCGGCGCTTAACAGCGTAGCGGCCCTGGTCATGCCAGCGACTGCTGGCGACGCTGGCGCGCTGGCGGCTGCCAGCGGCGCGGCAACAACTGACAGCCTGGCGGCTGGTCGTTATGCATAACAACAACGTGGCGGCTGTTGACACTCATTCAACGCGCTGGTGACCAACGGTTCAGCGCTTGGCGGCAACAGCTGCTCAGGCAGGGCCCCAGCAAGGCAGCCAATGACAGCGGCAGCAACATCGCTGGTTGTGGCTGCTGCTGGCAACGCTGTGGCAACAGCGGCATTAGCGACAGCGGCGCGGCGGCAAGCGGCGGCGGCAGCAACAACAGCAGCGGCGGCGGCCACTTAACTGTAACAACAGCGGCGCTGCATGATACTGGAAACTGTTCAGCAATCCGTCGTGCATCGCCAACAATGACAACAGCGGCAACAACGTGCTCTCTGACGCTGCCAGCACTTAACCTGCTGTAAGCTATTGTACTCTGGGTATGCTATGTAATGCAGGACCTTGCTGCTGTAGCCTTTCTGCTTATGCACCTTGGACAAGCGCTACTTCAGCAACAGCAGCAGCAGCATTTATACTTAGCCTCAGATTAATGGCTGTATATACTATCGTAGCGGCCTTTGTGTGCATATATACTACTGTTCATTGACAGCGGCAACGGCAGCAGCAGCGCTTAGTGACGGCAGCATCGCAGTTAGCCCATATAGCGGCAAACGACATGGAGCGTAGCAGCGTGTATGGCAGCAGCAGCGCTGGTTAACCTTAACGCCAGCAGCGGCAGCGGCAGCAGCGGCGCTTGCTTAGCCTTGCTGCTGCTGCTGCTGCTGCTCGCGCTGTCCCAGCGGCGCGCATCCTTTCGCGACTTGCCTTACTTAGCGGCGCAGCACGGCGGCAGCGGCGGCATGCTGATAGCTGTGGCGCGGCAGCGGCGGCAGTACCAGCGCGCAGCAGCAGCGCTGCTGCGGCAGTTAATACCTGCAGCAGCGGCGGCAGCGCTGCCAGCAAGCTGTACTCTGACGCTTAGCGGCAGCAGCGTGACGGAATGGAGTCAGGCAACAGCGGCGGCGACGCCCCGGCAGCAGCGGCAGCAGCCTTTAACGCTGGCAGCGGCAGCGGCAGCGCGGCGACAACAGCGGCAGCAGCAGCGTGCATCATAACATGGCTGTAAGCTGTACTCACGACCTCTGACGCCTGCTGCCTCCAGTTACTTAACGCTTACGCGCGCGCCATCCTCCAGGTTTCATTTAGCCAGCAATTCGCTGCAACGCAAATCACAACGTCCGTCGTCTGTGGGGGTGCGCTCTGCCACATACGGACATGAGATCCATGCGGTCTTCAGAGCATCGGACTATCGAGCAACCGTGTTTCCCGCTCTTTGAGATTAGCAAACGGCTATTTTTCTTTTTTTCTGTGAATTCATATTAGTAGAGGATGTGTTTTGCCCCCGTAGCCCTGGTTGGTTGGTTGGTTGGTTGGTTGGTTGATTTGGTTGGTTGGATTTGGTTGGTTGGTTGGTTGGTTTGGTTGTGGTTGGTTGGACTGGTTGGTTGGGGTGTTTGGTTGAGCTTGGCTGGCTGTAGCTGGCTGGCTGCTTTGCTTGCTTCAACTGGCATGGCTGGCACAACTGGGCAGCTGGCACCTTCGTTTGGCCCTGGCTGTACGTGCCCGGCATCTCAACATCAGCGGACCTGGGGTTGCTCTGATGGGGTGGCAACCCCAGGTCCAAGTGATGTTGGTGATGCGAGATCGCGACAACCAAGGCAGCCAACCAACCAACCAACCAACCAACCAACCAACCAACCAACCCACCAATCACAGCCAGCGTTAGGAAAAAACCAGGGTTAGTAAAAAAAAACACCTCCACCCCCTATGTGGCTGCGCTGTGGGTCAAAACTAATGGAACCATTTTGTAGGTGCACCACCCATTTTAGTCTATCGGCGGGGATTGGGATGTTCACTGGGGGGTATGAGATTTTGACCCATGGCCATGTTAAGGCAGCCCCAAACAGTCGGACCGCCAAACGCTTGGCTTTAGAACAGAGGAGTCACTCGGTTTGACACGATGGGTGTCCAAAGCGCTTCCTTTGGATGATCCCTTGGTGAGGTTCTGGTTTGGCTTTCAGGACGGGAAGGAATGGCAGATGGTCTCACACTTGTTCAGCGCTTGTGCCACAGACTTATCGTCAAGCCAGTGCTAAGCAGGAATACTATGGCATACTTACTTCCATGGCAAGCAAGAACGCTTGGATTCGTTTGGTACAGGTGTCAGGTGGTCTGCCATCGCCAGTAGTTTGGACAATGGGTGGCCTAGTTCGGCAGTGCTCATTCTCTAAGTTTGGCCGAGTTTGTCATGCGCTGGCCATGATTTTCTATGACATTTTGGGGCATGAGCTGCAAGGCGGGGGTCATTCTTCAATTTCTGAGGGGGATGTTTTGATTTGACTCGCCAGACCCATGCTGCCTTGTATGATGTCATTTTCATTCCGTCCTACTAGAAGCGAAGAATTTGAAGCTCTCAGGCAGTGCAGCGGTTGACTTCAGGGGGGAGGTGCTATATTCCTCATCACCCCTCCTCTCTAAACAGCTTGCAGCTGCATTGTGAGGGGGGGTTGGGCCACCTATGCTCGAGTCCGCTCGAGTCGCTCTGGGAGTTTCTGGGGGTTGGCACCCCCCTGAGAATTTGGCCTCCAAGCTTCCTCACATAGCCTCGCGGCACAGCTTGCGGCACAGCTCCACACCATGGCATGTTGCGGATATGCTAGTTGGGCTCAGGAAGTTCGGAAAGAGGATCAACTTTGAGGATTGAATTCGAGATGCTTATTATGTGATTCCAGCTGAGTGTTCAGCTAATACCAAAGCAGGAACATGATTCGTCAACAGTTGACCAAGCTAGACCAGCAACACAACACCATGAAACTTTCGGAAGCCCGGCTTGCCGAACATCGTTCCGCTTGCTGGCAGGTCTATAGCGCGCTGCCCTTCTTGAACGAGCTGCGGGTGATCACGGACTGGACAGTGACGGAGACCTCTATGAACCTATTCATGTGGCTGAAGTGACTCGCCATCCGCCGCGTTTCGGCATCCGGTTCCTTAGGGATCTGAGATCGGACATAGGTTTGCAATGGTCCAAGGGCAAGCTCGAAGCCAGCCGATCGGAGGCAAAAAAAAACCATCATGTTCTCAAAAGAATCGATCCGGTGCATGGTGACATTCACAAGTATACGTTTGAGCGATGCGGCCAGGACTCTGTTGCCCCGTGGCGCCTTTTTGTCCTTTTTTTGGGGGAAGGGCGTCCCTTTAAAGGATGCCCCTTTTTCCCCTGGCCACTGGGCATGTGAGAGGATGGAGGTGGATGGCACACAATTCTCTTGGTGTGGGTAAGGCATGACTAAACCCCGACATGGGGAGATCGTGTCATCTGCTTTCATACGCTAAGTCGGCTGAGGTTAGAAGATGCCCATCACGGCCTCTACCGGACACGCCTGGACATGGAAGGCCGGCGGGCAAATTGGTTGAGTGGCTGGGCCTGCTTCGTCTGGTTTGCGCTGGCAAAATCTTTGGTGCATTTTGATAGGATGGTAGAACTTTAGCTTTTTGCCAACTAATGGGTTTTCCATTAAACCGCTAGTTAAACTTTTAGCAGGGGAGCAGAAAGCAACCAAGAAACAGCTCGCTCGCCTATGCATGCGAACAGGGTCTGAAGTCGACGATTTTTCCCTTCGAGTGCCTAATAGCGCCAGGTAGAGCAATGACAGAACCCGCAGAAGCCCGACCCATGCTGCAAAGCTGCACTGAGAGGATGGTGGGCTCGGGCAGCGAATCGCTGCGCTTTTGTGCTGGCCAGCTCATTGCTTCATGTAGGTTGCGCTGTTGCAGTGCAGGCCCTTTGTTGGCACGGCTATGCTGGATGCGCGCTTTCCGCACTTGAGGGGTGTCTTGTGGTTCTGACCTCACCGTCCACATTTTGCAAGCCAACACGTGCCGTTTTGCCTGTGATTGTGATAATGTTGACCCAGGATTAATAAACCCGTCCCAGTATTAGGGGGAGTTCCCTCCAACAGTGGTCTGAATCCCCACTAAAAGGGGATACCTCTCTATTAATCAACCAGAGTTCTGCTTAATCCGGGGTTGAAATTACTTGGGGTGCACATGCTGGCACTCCTGCCATCCCCCCCATTGTTGCAGTTGGCACTTGGTCGTCATAGGGGCGCGCCCCTATCACGAAGCTCCCTTGCTCAAACAATGAGGGCTGGCTTGCTCACTGTTTGACCGTTTGGGGCCCGGGTGCAACTAGCATCGATCCTTGAACCAGCCGAGGTTTGAGAAAGTCTACATGGGCGTGGCCTTGCTGTTCCTGCTGCTGGTGCTGCTGGTGGGCCCCATCATTTTCTTTTCCGCTTTGAACACCTTCATGCCGCCTGGCCGGGAAACCATTGGATGTGATCTGGCGTTCCTTCACAGGTGGGGGGGGGTGCGGGGGCCCTGCGCGCGCAGCATGTGAAGTTCCTCGGATGTTTTGGGGGAAGGCCACAAAGCGCCCAGGTGACCCACAATCAAAACCCGGGTAGATGAAGGTTAGCAAGGGACAATCCCATCCATAAACAGCTGCGGTCCCCTTCTTAATTCTTTACATGGCTCCTTGGGTAGACCATTTCAATACCGGGTTTTGACTATGACTCAGGTTGGTTCCCAGCATGGTGATGTCTGCCACCATGTCCGTGGACGTCAAGGTAGAAGCCAGTCATGGCCACCGCAGCCTGAACCTGTATCAAGCCGCTCAGGAGCGTCAGCGCGAAATTTCCGGATGAAGAGGTTTGCCTGCGATGAATGTCTTGAGTAGAGTCTGAATCGCCAGCTAGTACGCAGTTTTTTTTTGGATGCGTAAGTTGGCACAGCAGCAATGAGAAAGAGCCTGCAAATGCCGATGAGGGAATTTGGCATAAAGCCACATGACAGACAAGTCCTGAACCAGTCACGACACGTGAAACGGGAGGATTACATCTCACTCTGGAGCCGGGAGCGGGAGAACCTTTTCCGCAAGACGCTGCTGGACCACGAGATGCCCTTCTCGCTGCAGGACCCAAGGTCTTGCGCATGCCTTCCTGCCGCTTAAGCATTAGCACGTGTTTGTGTGGTTGTGTGATGTTACGTACGTGTTTTGCGTTTGTGTGTTTAACTGTTTTGCGAGTGTAAGTGTTCGCCCGTTGTTTGTCTGTGTGTTTGTGTCTGTGTGTGTTTATGTGTTTGGGTGTTTGCATGTGCCTTTTTGTGTGTATCTGTGTTTGTGTGTTGCATGTTTGCGTGTTTAAGTGCATGTATGGTTGTTTGTGTGAATATGTGCCTGTGTGTGTGTGTGTGTGTGTGTGTGTGTGTGTGTGTGTGTGTGTGTGTGTGTGTGTGTGTGTGTGTGTGTGTGTGTGTGTGTGTGTGTGTGTGTGTGTGTGTGTGTGTGTGTGTGTGTGTGTGTGTGTGTGTGTGTGTGTGTGTGGTGGTGTGTGTGTGTGTGTGGTGTGGGTGGTGTGTGTGTGTGTGTGTGGTGTGTGTGTGTCCGTGGTGTGTCCGTGTGTGTCCGTGTGTGTCCTGTGGGTCCGTGTGTGTCCGTGTGTTCCCGTGTGGTGTGTCCGTGTGTGTCCGTGGGTGGTGTATGTGTGTGTGTGTGTGTGGTCCGTGTGTGTGTGTGTGTGTTGTCCGTGGGGGGTGTCGGTGAGTCCGTTGTGTGGGTGGTGTACTGTGTGTGTGTCGTCTGTGGTCTGGGTCTGTGTCTGGTGGCTGTGTCTGTGTTCTGTGTCTGTGTCTGTGTCTGTGTCCTGTGTCTGTGTCTGTGTCTGTGTCTGTGTCCTGTGTCTGTGTGTCTCTGGGTCTCGGTGTCTCGTGTCTCTGTGTCTCTGTGTCTCTGATGTCTCGGTGTGTGTGGGTGTGTGTGGGTGTGTGTGTGTGTGTCTGTGTGTCTGTGTGTCTGTGTTCTGTGTGTCTGTGTGTCTGTGTGTCTGTGTGTCTGTGTGTCTGTGTGTCTGTGTGTCTGTGTGTCTGTGTGTCTGTGTGTCTGTGTGTCTGTGTGTCTGTGTGTCTGTGTGTCTGTGTGTCTGTGTGTCTGTGTGTCTGTGTGTCTGTGTGGCTGTGTGTCTGTGTGGCTGTGTGGCTGTGTGTCTGTGTGTCTGTGTGTCTGTGTGTCTGTGTGTCTGTGTGTCTGTGTGTCTGTGTGTCTGTG